TGCCAAAATGGACACAACAATCGCTATGTTTTTACGGTTGACAAGCTGTAAAAAAGTCCATTTAATTGTCACCAAACGCTCTGCTGCCAGTGCCACGTGATTCCATATTGAACATAGACCACAGAAAGTCGCATTGAATGCAAAGAACTGGCAAAACAAAGGGTCCAAAGTCCAAAAAAGAACAAAATTAGCGTACGCTCCCATTGATGACTGCAAAGAAGACAAGAGGTCKATGACAGCCATACAAATAAGCAGGATGTTTCGCGGGGTGCAAAGTGACTTCTTCGTCGCAAACGTAGCCAGAACAATTAAGTTCAGCGTGAATGATAAGAAAGCAATAATTATGTAGACGGCTGCGACGATCTTGTAATATTGAAGAGAGAAAACCTCTTCTTTCATGATTAGTATCAAAGCTTTAATATCCTAAAAACATAAAAATGGGCATACATGATTAAAGGAACCTATCCAACCGACATGCAAWGCGGCCGTGTTCTAATTTTCCGAATACACTTATTTCAAACAAAAAAAATTGTTGTCGGGGAGAACGGTAAACGGCGATATTGTCGAAGGGAGAATGCACGACAGAAAGGGACTATGGTTACACTGTTTTGATAAACAAAATTTCACACTGGAAAAAATCGCCCGATTTAAAGGTTGTAAATTTGATGTAAATATGATGTAAGTGTCCAAAATTCTGTAAATTTGATGTAAATGATTTCCATTAAATTTACAGAATTTTGGACACTTACATTAAATTTACAACCTTTAAAGCGCGCGAAATTTCCCAGTGTCACTTATTGGATTAACCTTGCTTAAAAATGGAAATTAAATGGATCCAGTGTTTGGCACAGACTATATAACAGTATAAATCAGTTGTTATTTGTCAACAATTAGCGAAAATCATGACTATACTTTCGTTTGCGCGCGCAATCGCTGTTTGACAATTGACATTCGCTATTTTATCCGACAATCTTTTTTAAAAATAGGTATATACTCGCTAATACAACAAAAAAATATATTACTACCCGCATTTAGCTGAACTATTCTTGGTGACTTCAATATAAAAAGACAGTATATAGTAGATTGAAAAATTGACAAAAATAAATAACAAGATTTATCTATGAAATACCTATATTTCTCCATTACGTAAAATTGATATTTTCACTAGTGAAAATAACACATTCGAGGTTTCTCTATATAGTGGAAGTAAGAAAAAAGATATTTTCCGACATAATTTGCTTTCATATTTAATTATATTGATAAACAAAATATTACATGGTCGCTTTGAGATACGAATTTTATCTTCTCGTGTTGAAAATYTCTCACAAGTTCGCTACGCTCRCTCGTGAGAGATCTTTTCAACACTCGAAGATAAAATCCGTATCTCCGCGCGCACATGTAATATCCTCTCTCTMTATATATAATATGGATAGTATAATAATACTTTGATAATGCTTTTGAACAATAGCAGAAAAAAGATTTATCGTAAGTCAAATACAATAACAACGAAAAAACAGTTATGGGTATAGCTAGATAGTTGTCCCGAGTGAAGTTTTGTCTAACGAGGGTATGAATTGTATGAATAAACGGTAAACTTACCACATAAGCTTAGCCTGAGTTTGTTCACTACTGAACCTTTTAACGGTACTGTTTCCCATTCGTCCTGTAAAATTTGATAAGATTGTCGTGTCTCAGATCAAGCACCAAGAGAGTAGCACGACTGGCTTATGCAACATACGTACCATGAGTAAGAACTAGTCTAGGAATGGGAGGTACGTTTTTAGTAGTAGCTATGATATGGTTAATGTCACCCCCCCACCCCCACCCTTCTTTTACGTTTGTCGTCTCAAGCCTGAATAATTGTTTTTTTTTACTGCTAACAAATTAATTTGTCAATACCGCTAATTACAAAATTTTAAATCTGATCATTCCTGATTGGTTAATTACTTTACAGGGGAGAATTCAGGGTWTTCCTCAGGGGAGGGGTGCGGGGCTCTCAGGAGGGGRTGCAACCCACAAAAAATCATTACCATGAAGCTACAAATTAAGGAAAGTATTGAAGGATATCAGATCTCAGGTGGGGGTACGTACGCAACCCCTGYACCCGCTAGCTAGATACGCCCCTGAATTACATTGCTCATCTCTGATCTCTCTGTCTTTCCAGTGGAATGCTCGAATATAGTATCGAATGATGGCATATCGTAATTACGTGGGCTTCCTGTGGAAACTCACAGCTCTAAAAATACCAGAGTGGACGTTTCTCCTTTGTCAGTCGTCGTCGTGAATATTACACTTHAAATTGGTAGCGCCTGCGTTGCCGATGGTCTGCAGTCTTAGTTTCATTTTTCATTTTTGACATGTATTGTTTTGTACGTCAGTCGGCCTCGTGGCCCGGTCGTGATATCTACGGCCTCACTGTGACCAGCTGGTTTGCTTATAAGCCAAAACCAAAGGCTGTAGTAGTACTTGGTTCAGTTCGGTAAAAAATTAAGATGTAATAAAGATGTAAATTACTTATATTGACTTAATTCTGTCTTGAACTATTTCAAACAAAGACTCTATCGTGAAAATGAAATACTTATAGCTTAATGGCGGSAGCTRACCATTGTCGYAGCTACAGGAAGCCCACGTAATCGATCTATGATCGTCTAGTTATCAATAAGGAAGTAGTCCAGATCGAAATTGCCATCTCGAGTATTTATTGATGTTTGGTTTAAGGGGTATCGATGGTATATGCGAGTGAGCAGTCTGTTTATTTGGTGAGAAAGAGCAGTAATTGTCAATTTTTTTTCTCTATACTTTGATTTTGAAAATGGATACTAAATGGTTCCAATGTTCA